GGGGGCTTTGGGTTTCCTCTGATGGCTGCCACATTACACAGACGTGGTAAAGATCCACTCAAACTTGTCTGTCGTCATCATCATTATTATCATTCCTGCCGAGGTCATTAACGCTCTCAGTTTCTTACATCCTGCCTCTTTCGGGATTGGCAGATCCCCTCTCTTCACAGTGTGATTGGTGAAACGCTGTGGGAAGTAGCTGCCATTACTTAAGAGGAGGGCAGGCTGTGGAAAGCCAGGAGGAGAGGATAAAAGAGTAAAGGGAACAGTTTAGCTTCGTAAGCTGGCACTGAGCCTTTTAAAGCAACCATAAACAGACCTGTTTAAATCACCTTCAATGAACTTGCTGCTACTTCTGTTGCTTGTCAATTACTACTGTTCACTTCAGTTTGCTTCCTGAGGTTGTAAACACCTGAGAAACTCCTCAGCCAGCCATCCATCCATCTGTCTATCTGTCTGTCTTTCTGGGGGGTCTGCCTGTGTTTTGCAGCGCTCCCTTCTGAATGACTGGACACAGACTGCTCGCCCATTAGCCCGTCCCATCTCAGTAATCTTTCATCCCCATTGGCTGCTCTCAGGACAGCCTTCCCGAAAGCGACCAATGGCAGCTGCTCCACACACAGCAAACCACTCCCCCCTGCTCTTAAAGAGCCCCCATGTCTTCAATGGAGACTCAATCCCCTTACTGACTTACTCAGCCTGAGTGCGCTCTCACCACTGCTGCTCTCCATCCATCTGTCTCTATATTTTATTCTCTCTTTCTCAATCTGTCACTCCTCTGATCTTTATTCTTCCTCCTCTTCTCTTCACTTTCTTCCTGTTTCCTCTCTACCTCAGGTTCTTCCTCCTCTCTCCTCTTTCTGTATCATATCCACTCTTCCTCTCTCCACACGCTCTCTTGAGCCTGAGTGTGCAGCACCTGTGCAGACTGGAGTTTGTCGGGGGCCGAGGCAGAAGGTTTTTTAAATTTTTTTTGGTGTGTGTGTGTGTGTTGAACAGGGGAGGGAGGGGAGACAACACCCAGGAACACCTGACCAACATTTCATCAAGATATGTGGAGACTTAGGAACTGATCTCCTCCTCCTGCTTTTGCCCAGCTGTTTGTTTATCTGTTTTTTATTGCAACACCTGGAATGCTTAACGTGGACTGATGGATGTTTCCGAACTGTGCATCCCTGACCCTCTCTGCTACCACAACCAGTAGGTGCATCTTTTTCCACACCTTTTTCCCTTTTTGTTTATGTGTTCCTATTTTTAGTGACATAATTGAATTTACTTCTTTGCCTCTAATTTTACCCCACAAAAATTGCAAAAATCAGTGTTTAAATCACATGTGAAAAAAAATCTGACGCATGAAGTAAACTATTTAAAAAAACAGGGAGTTCCTTGCATTGTCTCAGCTCCACCTCCTCATGTACGGGACAGCGGAGCTCAGTATTGTCAGTGAGGCTGCAGTAGCAGAGCCCGCAGGGAGTCCAGGTCGGACGGTTGCCCTACAGCTGTCTAGCTCTGCATCAGGATCCAGGGTTTAACCTCAGCCACAGGGAAGAGCCGGAGGCAGATTAATGCGGACAATATCCAGACGAATATCCTCTGGCAGCAGCCAGTGTCCGGCGGTGTCCCAGGGAAAGAAAACTGTGACTATTCTGTCGCCCAGTCTGTGTGAGAGTGTGTGTTCTTGAGAGACAGATATATTTGAGGGGGTGGATAACTGCCTGCCTGTCTTTGGTTTAAGCTTTGATCACTTTTATGTGGTTTGTGATATATATAAATTTAGATAAATCACCAGATCATCTCCACTGTGGCGATATGTTTACAGAAAATGCAGTTCATTCTATTTAAATAAGATTTCCCGCCTTGCATATGCATGTTGTCATTGTGCATTTAGTTTATAAGTGCGAGGATCACTTAGCCTGTTTTACAGTAATGAGAAGTCAAAGAAACTCTCAAATCTTAAATGAAGTACCAGTCATTCTTTACTACACTCCTTGCATGAAAAGACGCTGTTCTTTTGACCAAGTATGACTGGAAGGAAAGATCCTTTACTGGGATCCTCTTAATGTTAAGCTGTAGATAGGATTGGAAAGGTTTAACCTGCTTAGCACCATTTACAGGTCTGTGATTAGGAAGATTTCAAAGTCTAGAACACTCTCTACGAATTTATAAGAAGAAGCTTCTGTAATATTAAACAAGTATAATCTGTTTTAGTACGGTCTATAACTGCATATAACAACTCAGAGCTGCACAAAAAGATTCAAGAGGAACAAACTGCTAAAAGTAAAATCAGTCTGTATTTGTTTAGGAAGAGAAAAGAAACTGTTTTGCATTCAGAAGTAGCTGCTTTTATTAAAGGGGATTAGTAACAATTATTTAAAAATAGCTGAAGATGTTATACACTTTGCATGTATCTCATGCTACACTACAAAAATACATTTAGTCCATTTTTAAATTCATTTTAGATTCGTACTAGGATACAAAATTTCACCATAATAATAAATAGACAACACTGACAATTCAAGTGGAATGTGCAGTACACATAATGTTATGGTGAATATACATTTAATTTAAATACTACAATCTAATTAATCTCACTAATTGCTAAGTGACTCGATATAAATGGTTTCAGGAATGTCATGTTTATCCACAAGTGTTGGGAGAATCTGTCAGTTGTTTTGATATCTTACATAAAAGTAAAAGATCTGGGTTTCATTTCTTTTTAAATTAAATATATCCGTTTCATGTATTGTCTCTTAAGGCTTTGACATTCAATATTGTAATTCATGTGCAGATTGCAATGTTTTTGAAAAACCCACCACAACCCTCAGCTCTTCTTTTTCGCACGATCATCAGTTTCCACAATCTGTTAAACTGCATTTAGTACACATCCAGTAAATTAAAACTGTGGGTTAAAGTTATCATATTTTTTATTACATGTTAAAAAACATTTTAAGCTGAATTTAAATTATAAAAAAGACAAAGGCGACAGTACGATGCCATTAACCTACAGTGACCCTGAGCCAGCTTTTAGTGTGTACATTGTGTGTGTGTGTGCTGCTGTGTTTGTGGGACCATATGTTTGTGTACATCTGCATGTGTACCCTGCATATTTGGACACACAAAAATATGCACGTGTGTTTTGGCGAGTCAGGAGCTGGTTACATACGTGCGTGCATGTACACATGCGTGAATATGTGAATGTATTCATGCTCTATGCATACAGTCTGAATGTGTAAATGTTTTTCTCACATTGCCTCCTCCATTAACTACAGGACCACTGGGTCACATTTGATAGGACGGCACTTTTTTATGACACACTGGCATCGCCCAGAAACCCCACAAAGTCCAAAATTCACCACTCAACATATTTGTACTGGTTATAGTTCTTCCTGGAATTAATGCTGCATTTCCTGAGGGAGTAAGTTCAACTTGCTATGTTGATTATACATTATTTAAGAAGTGCAAACCATGATAAATAAAACAGCGTGTCAACATTAGTGTAAACTATAGGAAACTTGCACACTCTTTTTTTAGCAAAAGAGCATTGTGACAGAAGCTACAATGTGTAATATACAGTAAATTATGCAAAAAAAAAGTGTCTTAACCTAAATATTAAAAGCATATTGTCATACAATTTATCTCCTGGAAGTAATTGTAGTTGCTCATGTACCAGCTACCATACTGTAAATCTGTGGTTTTATAGTCACATAAAGCTGTGCTTAGTTAGATTTGTCTTCAGGGAATACTGTTAATAATCCCTTGAAGACTTTTGGCCTTACAACCAACCTATTGGCCCGAGGTGAGAGGTCCCATGACTGTGGTGTCCAACTCTCACGCTACATCTGTGCTGAAGAGGCAAATATATTATTCTACCAACATTCTAATACTAGCTTATCAGGCATTTCTAGAAATAATAAATAAACCTATATGCACATATAAAGTTTGTCCTTTTTTTACCCTTATCAAGGATAACATTAAGTTACAGTAACAATGTCACAGTGTTAGTAATTCGTAAAAAGAAAATAATTGAAACATTTAATTGTACTATAATATGTATTAGATGTTTCAGTGTTCTGAATATACGATTTAATCTTTATAAATCACAGTTTGGTGTTTTTCTCAAGCAAATTTTAATTAAATTTGTCATGGTTTGTAACCTAAATCCAAAAAACCTGCAGCTGAAAGTTTGAATTAAAGGACAAGAACTGGACCAGAGTCCATTAAACCTCCTCTACACTTTTTCTCATTTGAAAAATGAGGGGAGAGAAAAGTTCCCTCTGCTAGCTGCTTATAAATTATTATTTAAAATGTGTTCATGTGGACACTTCTTTTCTTAGACACAGTATATCATTTAATATCTTCATTAGTAAACTGACACATGATTTTCAAATTCTTTATTCAATTAATTGTTGATTTTAAAAATGTTCAACTATATTATGTCTCTATGATTCGCTGTGGTTTCAGTATGATTAGACATGGCAGTTCTGACAACTGCATCATTTACACTTAAAGTTGCTGTTTATGTTCAGTTTATTCTAATACATCAGATCCATTTATCTCTTGTTCCACCTGCTGTTCATTGGTGCCCTTGGTATAGGCAAACCAACAGGAATGCATAAGCACAGGCGGTCAGATGTATACACACACACACACACCCACATAATCATACACACGTGCGCGCACATACGAACGAGACCAGAAGAATCACACACTGACCTGAGGTCTAATTTTAGCGGTGCCATATCATGGAAACACCTGACTGTGTCTGTTAGGAGAAGCACATCCTCTTGTTATGCATTGCATCTGCATTTATTACACTAGTCTCACAACCCAGCTCTTATGCATGTCATATTGTGTTTATAATGTATCTGAGATTAGTCTGTGTCATTAATATCTAATATTTAAATAAATACATAAAATCTCCATGGTCAACCATTTGTCTTGCAAAAGTGTGACAACATAATTACACTTCATGAAGTGTAAAATAAATAATAAATAAATATTTTTTTTAATTTATTTTTTTCTTGACAAATGGGTGTCTCATCAAACATCATATCAAGAGACAATATTTTAAAATATGCAGTCGGAAAAATAGAAGGAAGAAAGAAAGAAATGTCCTGATGGTGGTTATTTCAGAGTGCATTTGGAAACAGAGATTTATGAGATATTTGATATGTAACCGATAAATTTGGGTCTTATCGCTACTTATACGACTACTATACGTTCTTCAAAGGCATTTTTGCTTTTTGTCAGAAATAGTAAATTAAATTGCTTATGTTTTGGTAACTTCAGTGGGAATGTGTTGTTACTTGTGAATGCCAGAGTCTTACAATCTGCTTAATCACTGGAGTGAGTGGACAAAGTTGGCTGCTTCCAGCACACCTTCCTGCACCGCATGGAAACAGCTATCACTGCACTTTAAGGGTCACGGTTGTTGTTTTTTTGTGCCAAAATGGATGAAAATGATTAAAACATCACTCCGGGGTGCGATCTATCTCATCTTTTAAGTCTAATAGTTGGCTGATGGAACCAGTAAAATCGTCTGGGAAGCCAACCGAACTTACTAGTCCACTGACGGATGGAGAGAGCAGGTGGTTGGACAGGGCTCTGTTGTGTTCACATTATGGGGGGAAAAAATGCAGCTTCCATCCAACTTTTCTTTTACCACCAGCTTTGAGTTTTCATGGTGAAGGTCACGAAAATGACCACCAGATTTAAAATAAAAAAATTCAAAACACTCCTGTATTTCCTCATGACGCTGTTTTCCAAGCGTTCAGACTGACGTGTTTATTAATGGCCATGGCTGCTGCATAAGAGGGTACAGCCCAGCTCTATGGTAGAGTGGTGCTGTGTGACGGCACGAGGAGAAATAACTTCATTACATGTCATGACCCCCTCTTGATATAGATATATCCTTTAGGCAGCCTGTCAAGGACTCTGAATTCATCAGGATGTAGATGGAGGCTTTTTTTGCAGCCGCTATTCAATCAAAACATGAGTGTGGCTTTCACGTGTACAGGTTGAATGCAAGCAGCAGAGAGGACTTCTTAGAATGAGTTTGTTTTATTGATCAAATGAAATTAACACAGAGAGAGAGAGAGAGAGAGAGAGAAAGCGAGCAAAGAAGCAGTGCATCTAATCATGGAGTGTGGGTCAGCCAGCATGTTTAATTTAATGGGCCTCATCGTAGCTTCACGAGGTCTCACATTGTGAACTTAATTCCTCTTCACCACGTTAATTTGCATTGTGTCAATTGACCGGAGCGCTTACTGTATCAGCTTGAGTCTCACTTGAAATTCAGCCCATGCCCTAATACCATTAGGCAAATGCAAAGTTGTGTCATTTACACATTTGGAGGGGGGAAAAAAACGAAGGGAGAGAGAGAGAGAGAGAGAAAGAGAGAGAGAGAGAGAGAGAGATCGAGAGAGAAAAGCCAATTTGCGCTGGACAAGACTCGCTTGTGATTATCAGTGGATGTTATTACTGTGGAGAAGCAGACGTTTGAAGGTTATGTTTCTGGGCAGTAATTGAAATGCAAAATAACATTAGGATCGATGGCCATCTCTGTTTATTTATGAAATCAATATCGTAACTGTCCCTCATGAGTCCCCCTCTGATTCCCAATGACGGCTTAAGTCTCTGCTTGTTTATTCTTTCTCCCCCATAACCTCCTTCTTCTGTCTCTTTTTAAAAGGCAGTTAGGGGTGTGTTTGACTTTGCAGGGAGAGCAATTTCCTGGAGGTGGTGGACGTGTATGTAGATGGGGGGTTGATACTCCAGGTAAGGAGACATCATCCATGTGGGAAATCTATGCAATCTCTCCTCGTGGCAGTGACATTGAAAAGGCCATATGCTGGAAGTTCTGTGTACAAGTGAGGGTGTGTGTGTGTGTGTTAGACAGACAAAGAAGCAGAAACAACGTATATATATATATATATAT